GTCAGTCTCCAGTTGAAACCACCTCGCAGATAGCTGACCAAGATTCACGCAAAAAATTCCGGACTCCTCTTCAACCCAAGAACAATTATTTTGAAGAGCGACTTAGAACCAGACCACCGAAATAAGTTTTTCGACTTTCGTCCAAAGACACACCGAAACACCAATTTCTTAGAGAGCAAACAACTTGAAGCGTTAAAACTTGCCTAGCGAAAACGACGTGTCACAATCCACAGAACGGGTCGGGAGATAGATGCAGTCCTATGCATCGAACAACGAGACATAAAGTTTGTTACCTTTTTCTTTGATACTTTGAACTTTTTGAGTTTTCATTTTATTTTCTTTTATGCATATTTGTGTAGTATCACCCCCGTTGAACTCAATTTGCATTACGGCCCAAACCACTGTTTGATCTCGTCTGTCTAAGATCAATTCACAACGTGGGTAGGCAGACTGGGGATCAATGCAGTTACCTAGGTAACCAGTCGTTGGAAGCGAGTTGGGAACGATGAGGCTGATATCAAATCTAACCAGATTCCCACCCGAATCACCAAAAGGTTAGAACGTCACATTTGGGTGCCGCGACCGATACCAAGCCAGTTGGTCGTCACAGGACGAGACAACACGACTGACGCGACAGGCGGACGTCACGTTTGGAGCAGCGAACAGCTGGCGCCGCGGCGAGGACGTCACAATTGATGCTGTTTGGGGACGTCACAACCGGCGCCGTGGTAGAGCAGGATAGAACGTCGCAGTTGGCGCTCCGACCGGGGACGACGTCACATATATATATATATATATATATATATATATATATATATATATATATATTTATATTATGTATATATATATATATATATATATATATTACATTTTATATATATATATATATATATATATATATATATATATATATATATATAAAACAAATCTAAAATAAAATAAATATATATATATATATATATATATATATATATATATATATAAATTAGGAACAAATAAATAAAGCAATTTCCACATCTAGAGAAGACACGCTAATGTACAAAATTAAAAATAAATCTAGCCGTATTCCTCTAGTAACCACTTTCAACCCCACTCTGCCTCCACTATCCCAAATAATCAAACGTCGCTGGGAAATACTACATCTCAAACCAGACCTAAAAAAATTATTTAAGGAACCCAGCCTTCTTGCATATCGTAGACCTAAGAACCTAAAAGAAATCATAGATAGTAACCACATTTCAGAGGACAAGGTAATCCGTAATGAACTAAGAACAAAAACAACAGGATTTTCCCAACCATATAACAACAAAAGAAGTTTATGCTGCAACCATATTAAACACACGAATTCCTTCACTAGTTCAATTACTAAATCTACTTTCAAAATCTACCACGATTCTAACTATAGATGTCATAACCTCCTAGAATGCACACTATGCCAGAAACAATATGTAGGAAAATCTGAATGGCCCTTTCACTACAGAATTAATAATTATCACAATCGAATTAAGTCGACTCCCCATGAAAAATTATTACCTGTAGAACAATATTTCCGCATGGAAAAACACGATTTCAAAATCCATGCCAAATTCCCTATAATTGAGAGAATAGAAAAGTTCAGAGCAGATAACAGTAGAAAGATTTTAGAGTTCCATGAAAATAAGTGGATACAACGTCTAAAAACACAATATCGAGCCAGGCTAAACCATAAATTTAACAATATAGATAGTACTAATATATAACTCAACAAATCAAAACCTACCCACATTTCTCACCCACACAAGACAGACATGCTTACGGAGATGTTGAGGCCTCACACTTATATACACACCCACACGAATATACACACTTGCACACATCATACTCACTCCCTCCCTAATGAGCCAAATGATAACACACACCCACAACAATATAAACGCTTACATATATCATACTCACTCACTCCCTAAGAACCAAATTACACACACACAAACACTTAACAGTGACACATCCCCTCTCCAGGACCAATGAAACTGTCAAACTGACCAAGGGAATTCAGATGAACATAGATCCATTCAGCTCTTATCTCAAATAACAACTTAAAAGAGACTGTATGACCAACACAAGGAATGTTAAAATATTCATGTTAAAAAGATAAAGAAATAAAAAAACAAATGAAAATTACAGACAAAAGTTCATTTTCTACTGCAAAAGACTCATTTCTGTAGTTTACTGCTACCAGCAAGCAGAAATAGTTCTTCTCCTGATGATGGCCATGATCGCCGAAACTAGTCGAGGAATCTAAATGAAATAATAATAAAAAAACGAAAGAATATTAATCTACAACCCAGTGTCTGAAGATTTCAATTTTTTTATATTTTTTATTGTTCAATATATATATATATATATATATATATATATATATATATATATATATATATATCATTTCATTTCGCCCTAAGCAAGGTAGGGAAGCGTCTAGCACGCAAGGGATTACAGAGTATTTGGAGCGAGAGCAGATAGAAGTGATAGACGAAAGGATGAGGAGAAGTATAGTGGATAGATCTATGCAACTGGAGATGTCGATTGACATTACATTTGAATAGTTGGAGATTATAGGTATCCGGGAAACAGAAAAGGGGAAGGGTGTTCCACGGCTGAGAGGCGCGAGATATGAAACTATTGGAGTAGAAAAGACGGCTACATTTAGTAGTTTCGACAGTGAAAGTGTGAGAGCGGGATGCCAGCCTCGTAGGACGCTTGAATTCATGGAGTCTTGGAACCAGAGAAAGCATCTCATCGAAGCAATCAATTACCATGAAAGTATTTGTAAAAAAGACAGAGAGAGGCGACGGCACGTCTGTCAGAGAGCGACTGCAGATATATATATATATATATATATACACGTCATATTATATTACATTGCATTATACCTAAATATTCCTCGACACACTTTTAGTATTTACTCTCTGGAAACTACAGCAGAAAGGAAATGCCTGTAATAGTAAAACACTTATCTCGGGAAAATAGCATTAAGAACACGAAGAAATACGCCTCCTGTATGACCATAAACTACATCCGGCTGCAAGGCCTCTGATCAGGAGGTTATGCGGAGCGTGTAATCACCTGTAAATTGCTGTTGTTCCCAGGTTTACACTGACCCGGGGTGGTACCCGCCCAAGCTATGTGCAAATTCATAACCACAAATCTAGTGCCGAAACGCTATGAAAGCATAAAAATAGATTTTTACAGTAAAAATACCATCAATACATTTTTGAAGAAAGATATATTACCAGCAATACATTTGACTCACGCCCAAACATCTCTTTACAAAAACACGTCAATGAAACATAATCTACTAGCTGATTTCTTAAAAATACCTATTCTATTTATACGAACCTCTCTTAAAAATTTTGTCTGCATTAACCAACACATTGAGGTTGATATACTGTAAAAGAAAATAAACCAAACCAAATCAAAGAAATACGTCTGCCATACGAAGAGGCCAGAGAGAAATGACTGTGAAAATTTTCCCATTAGGCATGTGAAAATATACTACGCTTCACTAACCTGCTTTTTATATACAGTAAGTAATTTTTTCGTGTAACGTCGTCAGCTTGTTGTAGAAATAGCCTGTTGCATCTATGGATATGCTACAATAACCGCAGCATCGGAGAATGAACGAAATTAATTTATCGACTCTGATTTTGTTTGATGTTATGTTTAAATACACATCTATAGATCTTTGAAAAGGCTGCACGCTTGTCATTGGCTCAAGGTCTTATACTCTGGTTGTGAAAGCTATTTTATTGGTTGGTTGAACTGTCTATTTTTAGAAAAGGTGATATTTTTCGTCTTTTGTTATTACTTGTTTATTTCTTTTCCTACATCCTGGTTGTGGACGTTTTCTGATTCTTTGGTCGAATTACGGATTTGTTTGCCTGGCGATTTTTATTATCCGTCAATTTTTAATTTTGATGAAAAATTGGTCTTCTTGATATGTATTTTTATTTATTTATTTCTCTATTTCCACAGTCTTCTTTATATTTTAGCTTTAATATTTGAGTAAGTATCTGCACCAACGGAAGATACTACTGAGGCTGGCCATATATATTTGATATACCCATAATTTAAAATAGTATGCTATAAAAGTACACCGAGCTAATTTGGCTGACACTGAAACTTGGAACGGAACATTCGGAAGCAGTTAGTTGTGATAGTTGTGTGATTACTGGTCGAATTACGGATTTGTTTGCCTGGCGATTTTTATTACCCGTCTTTTTTTTTTTACTTTTGGTGAAAAATTGGTCTTCTTCATATTAAATTTATTTATTTATTCTCTATTTCCACACTGTTCTTTATATTTTGGTTTTAATATTTGAGTAAGTATCGGCATCGACGGAAAATACTATTTAGGCTGGCCATATATGCTTGATATACCCATCATTTAAAATAGTTTGCTATAAAAGTACACTGAGCTAATTTGCCTGACACTAAAACGTGGAACGGAATATTTGGAAGCAGTGTGGAAAATGAAACGAAACAAAAAAAAAAGTATCTTTTAAGTAAAATTCACTCTCTATTTTTTCTCTCTATTTTAATTTCTCACGCTGATATTGAATGGTTTGACGTTTTATAGTTTCAATTTTTTTTTAAATTTCAAAAATAGCCTTTGTAGATGTTTATTACTTTTTTCATAACAATTTAACATAATGTCTCGTTTATATGTTTCTTTCCACCACAACCAATTCTTCAAATGTATTCGCCTGTTATTTTCAGAATCAGAAATATTTTAATTTCTTTTTCTTTCATTTCGTAAATTAAGTTTCCGCTATATTAAATCAGAAATAACTTCGGCGAGATAAAAAAAAAAAAAAAAATAAAATAAAAGCGATAAATTTATTTCGACGCGAATTCATTTGCAATCGTATAATTCTTTTTAAAGCATCGTATCGAATTTTTAATTTCTTGGGCCTCTAACTTCATGAAATACTGAAAAAATTATTCAATCGACGCTAAAAGCCATGATTGGATATGCAGTCGATCGGTCAAGTGAAAAGGAACGTGCGAGGAGAGACAATATATATATATATATATATATATATATATATATATATAATAACGAGATCCCTGCCCTTCGGCGGAGCCTCGTCCATATTCCTCTCTGCTCAGAGGCAGAGTTCGACCGTCATATATATATATATATATATATATATATATATATATATATATATATATATATAAACTTGAATTTAGTGTATTGGGGCAGCAGATAATTATTTCAACATATATTACTAAATATAACAGAAGATGAATGTCTATTATGACTGATCATGAGTCGTTCTAATGTTTGCTTTCATTTGGGGGGAAAATAAAGATAAAAATTGTGCAACTTTTGGATATTTTTTTTATTAAGTTGGTCCTAAGCATTACATTATATTGCCTCTAGACATGGGTTCTGTTATAATACTTCGGTCTATCGCGTGGTATGACGTCATAGAAGCGCATCTTGAACTTAAGATCTGCGTCTGCTATTCCGCGACCGTTATCGTCACATAGGAATTTTCTATGTAAAATAACAAAATATCAGCTTTGAAGGTCGATAGCTTTGTTTTATGTCTGTATAACCAATCTAGGAATGGCTCATGTGAGACGAAAGCTTAGGATCAACTAATTAAAAAAATATCCAAATGTTGGACAATTTTGTCCTTATTTTTATCTGAAATTAAACGGTTCATGATCAGACATAATCGACATTCATTGTCTGTTATATTTAATAAAATACAGGGTGTTGCAGCAAAATCCGACACTTGACAAAAAGAAAACGAAATAGGCAATAAAAACAAAAGTTGTATATGCAGAGACTCGACATTTTATTTAGCAACAGTTAGAATTACATACTACATTAGTTTGCAATGTAACCACACCCGGCGGCGACAACCATCTTAAGTCGCGCGCGAAATGAGTCACAGGCTTTGGCGACCGTGTCTTTGACCACAGCAGCGAACGCCTCCACGATGGCAGCCTTCAGAGAGTCGACCGTGTTGTGGGCGGGCTTGTTGGTCTTGGCCTCGATCACACCCCAGAAGGAATAGTCAAGGGGGTTGCAGTCGGGTGAGGAGGGCGACCAGAAGGCCCGGCGACCAGTGGTGAGGAACATTGTTGAGCAACCACGCCTGTGTCGTCAAGTTTTTGATGTTGTCGAAGACACAATTATACTTCGACATGAAAACAATAGACAAAAACTAAAAATCCTTGAAGCATTATACATCAAACAGTTGAAACCTAACCTAAACAAAATCAAATATGGAATCTCTACAAATATCCTTAAATGTCTATAATTGGTAACAGAAGCCATTGGTTTATACCAACGGCTTCCCATACTTAATACTTCTCGAATTCACTCATGTGTGACGTCATCAGCCGCGGTGCGATTTTCGCTTCTTGCGTGTTTATCGTTGCCATGAAATCATCTATGTAAACAATAACAGAATATCATCACTGTCTTGTCCGCATATTGCTTAATATGTTGTACAGTAATTAACATCTTTGATAATGGCTTATGTAAGCCGAAAGCTTAGATTGGATTAAAAAATATGGATCAATATTGTGATTTTCTTTCTTCGTTTAATGATAATGTTGTTAAGCTTATCAGACGATATGAAACGAATTTACATAAAATAAATAGACAACACTTTTCTATATTATTTAATGAAACGTGTATGAATGAAAAGATACTGCCTAAATACACACAATTTAAATTACATGATCCAGCAGCCCACAATACTATCAATACTTGAAACTACAAATGTAGCCTTGTGAAAAGGCAAATTGAAATAGCCAAAGAAAAATTAAACAACCTTAACAGCAACAAACAGGACATTTACGATAAACTACAGGATATAACTACCCCGGACCAACTGGAGGAAATTACACATAGACTCACGGAAATTACCAATAAATCTGAAGCTCAACACCGATTTAAAATTATAAAAAAACTGAATACATTATACAAAGGTAATATCACTCTTCCTAACAAGACTGATAAATACATTAACCTTTCCAACTATGAACAAACTAAGCACCAAAAAGAATTACTTAACCTTGGACATAACTGCCATATATACCGTAAGTACAATCGATTTTTAAAAAAAATAGAAATTGAGACCCTATACCAAAACATCGTTAAACTCCAGGATGAACAACTAATAGAAACTCCAGCAGAATTTAAAGACTTACTTAAGGCCGAGGCATTCAAGGATCGGCATGATAAAAGCAGAAACTCCTCAAAAATACTTTCTAAACAACTGAAAATTGTCGCACAAGAACTACGCAACCACCCTGACATTATTGTAAAAAAAAGCTGATAAGACCAACATCTTTGTCATCCTAAACAAATTGGATTACAACAAAAACCTTGACCACATAATCCATGATCACATAAAGTTTAAAAAAACTTAACAAGAACCCGACCAACCAACTAAAATCAAAGCTTAATAAACTTCTTAATGCTAATAATGCTGAACAGAACTCTTTAAAACTCCCTAAAATTGTTGGTGATTATAGACCTGGTTACATATACGGCACTATAAAAACATAAACCTAACTATCCTCTCCGTTGTATCATATCGCAAATTCCAACTCCTGTATATCATCTAACAAGATACATTAAGCAACTTATTACTCCCTATCTTCCTAGTAAATATAGTGTTAAGTCAACATTAAAAGTAATCCAAATCCTAAAAAGTGAAAAACCCGACAATGAAATCATGGCTTCACTTGATGTTGAAAACTTATTTACCAATGTCCCTGTTAGTGAAACTATTGACATAATTATAAGAAATATATACAGTAACTCATCTTTAAAATTAATCCTAATATATTAAGAAAACTACGATTAGCTTGTATTACTGAAGTCCCTTTCTTCGATCATAATAACAATATATATATACAACGTGATGGTGTCTCCATGGGTTCAGTACTGGATATAAGAGAAACCCGGATATAAGAGAGATTTTCTCTGGTCCCAAATTAGAACCTGTGTTAATGTATATAAAATAGACCAAACCCGGATATAAGAGAAACCCGGATATAAGAGACTTCTTCTCCAGTCCCGACAACTCTCTTACATCCGGGTTAAACTGTATGATGTTTGCGTGAGTACACATGGAACTTTTAGTTTTGCTTGGCCAAAATTCACTGTCGTCTCTAGGTGCTGAGTTCAATGTCCACTTTTAAATTTACGTATGCTTTATCCCTGATAATAATGCGAGAAATAGGCACATCTTAAATATAATATCCCTTAATTCTCCATTTTCTATGAACATAAAAAGCAAAATCAGGGGTGCGTATTATGCACAGCTTTAAAAAATGGCCGTAAAATAAAATAAGAATTACAGTGTAACCCGGATATAAGAGAGTTGTCGGGACCGGAGAAGAAGTCTCTTATATCCGGGTTTGGTCTATTTTGTTTACATTAACACAGGCTCTAATTTGGGACCAGAGAAAAATCTCTCTTATATCCGGGTTTCTCTTATATCCGGGTTTCTTATATCCGGGTTACACTGTATCATAAAACTAAATTAGAATAATATTATTCTATGTTTAAAATCTTTTTTAAATAAGAGTAGGAAACGTTGGCCGTAATGAAATTGGAGAGGTACAATTTATAGGTTTTTATTACCGAACAAGGGCTGCGTGTTATGTATGAGTAGAAGCATTTTCCCACACTTTCAGCACAATTTTATGGGTGCGTATTATGGATGAAGGCGTATTATACATGGGGAATTACGGTTACACTAATATAAATACAATCATATATTGGGCACATGCCTTCCAAAATAACTGAACAGTGACACTGAACAAGTAATAATTAAAAATCACTTATTAAATATATAGGGTATAGAAATATATAGAAGGGTTATTGGTGTAAATAACTCCGAAATTGAAATTAAATTCGAGTAAACCTTGTTACTTGTAAAATTTAGAAACAAATTCAGATTCAAAAGTGTTAGTGATATCAAATTGTAATTTTTTTTCTTTTTGGGTGTGGGGGGTTATTAAATTTACTATAAAATAATTAACGGCGTGCGAAGGTTTCTCTCTCTTTCTCTCTCTTACTCTCAAACTATTTATCCTTTCTTTCTCTCTGTTTGGCTAATGTATTCTTATAAAAAACAAAAAAAAAAAACTAAAATATGTTAACACCTGTTCATGGTCTCACGAAATGTGGCGACTGATACGAAACAAACAAAAAAAAAAAAAAGAGTTTGGTGTGAAACTTCCCGAAACGAGTCATAAACAACTTTTCCTTTCCTTTTATTTCAATTTTTACAACATGCGATGATCGTTACGTCGTGTCTGGTGACTGACTTTTGTTGTATTCTTTCATTTAGATCAGTGTTCGGGTTCAAGAGAAATCTATGATTTAGAACGATTAATTACATATTTTTCTTAGTAGATATCCACCATATTTTCTTATTAGATACATGGCTTATTTTTCTTACTACATACATGGCTTATTTTTTTTCTAGATACATGGCTTATTTTTCTTACGAGATACATGGCTTACTTTTCTTACCAGATATATGGCTTACTTTTCGGTTAACCTGCAATGTAACACCCGCTCTCAGTTCATATTAAAAAAAAATCCAAAATACGTACATTTATGTGTAACTGTACATGCTCCATTCGAATCTGGCTTGATAAATGTAATAAAATCTACCATTTTGGAGTTATCGACAGTAAAAATTCGGATTCATTCGCGTAGCGGGCAGCCATTACTGTTTGCATAAATTCGCAGCAGAATAGCTATCAGTGTAGGTATCATTGCGCAAACTGAGCGTGTCTACGTAAATAGTTTTCATGCGCATTAATTTAGACAAATTTAGATGAGCAAGATCAGTTCCGCGCTTAGCTTTCCGTAGTAAATGAGGTATAAAATATTTTTTAAAAATATATCTTTATTAAGATTTTCTATAAAAAATAAAAATGTTCTTAAATAATTTTATTCATTTTAGAAAAAGTCGTGAAATTTTAATTAAAATCAGATGTATGATTTTTGCAAGAATTTCGAAATCAATCACTACAAAAAAAGAAGCTAAAAATTTTCTATGCTAATTTATAATCCATCCGCGACGCAAGAAAAACAAGGTTTTTAATCAACATTTCGAATGTTCTAAAAGGGATTAAAAATATCTGTATCTATAAAAGGCAGGACGTGTGTGTGTGTGTGTGTGTGTGTGTGTGTGTGTGTGGATGCACGGCGGATGCAATTTTTTCGACGGATTTCCACCAAAATTTACATGCACATGCTACAAGTTAGCGGGAAGGCCAAAACCGACTTTGCATTCCCCAACTCCCATCGATAGTGGAAATAATTGATTTTTTCATGCTTCTACGGCAGTTTTCATGTAGTTTGCGGCCATTTTCTACTGGCCAGAATGAGAGCCTATAGCTGGCTGCCACGAAAAGGCAGGAAGATTGTATTGGCCAGCGTGAGAGCCAACAGCTGACTGACACAAATGTTAACTAACATGCTAGTATGCAAAAAAAATCGATAGCTGCATTCGTCACAAGTGGGAAAAAAATAAATCTGCATGGCACTTTACTCCAATTGGCTCATTCGCTTGCTTAAACTCAACGTTGATTCTGATTCCGCAGAACTGGGTTGGATATGAAAAAGTATTTGTTGTTAACATTCTTTTTTCATTCGGTTTTTCCAGTTACGCGTCCTTTTTTAAAGCTGATCGTTTTGCGTTCATTTTGTTTAGTTCTTTTTTCGTAACAGATTTAATGTTTAGTATAGAGCTTAGAAAAAATTCGCAGTGTGAGATAGGCAAGAAGTAAGGCATGTAGCAACATCAGCACGGCAAAGGGCACTCCTTTAAAGGCAAGGAAGAGCAAAAATATTTTAAGTCAAGTGATAGCGATTGCTGTATGAGTCGTACGATTTTTGAATCAAGCACGGGCAACGCCGGGCCATGCTGCTAGTAATTAAATAAATAAAAATGACTGGTTTTTCTTCTTCCTAATAACCATGATTTTGACGATAAACCTAATTCATACAAAGTTTGGAGCATTGTTTAATTATAATATGTTAATTTTTTAGCGCATTTGTGGAGAATATGTCTTACATATTTAAAAGCAGGTATTCTTGTGAATATGTAAGACGGAATAGTGAACCAAGTTTCTTAGCAGAAGACTTAATAATTGATTCACTATACTTTTTCTAAAAACGTTAGTCCAAGAAAGTGCTATGAGTCACTCTACGGTGTGTTAGCACCAGCCATGCTGATAGACGGTAAAAATGGCTTCTTTCAGATGATTAGAAAAGAAGAGTTTCATTTTTGATTAATTAAAATTAACAAGCCACTCCTTACCCTATTTAATAACGAATTTTCTTTTTAGATCAGCTGACAATTTGAACTTATCGAACCGATCAGGCTTACTATTAAGACAGAAGTATATAGTTATGCCATCACCACAGATACCCAGTTGAAAAGTGATGACATCTAGAAGATCCTTTATGGCAATTAGAAACATTTTTTATGCGGAAAGATCTATAAGAGTGGCCATTCAAGACGATTTTCATTTCGTGATTTGATAATTCTTTCAGAAATAACATAACTTTTCAACTTGAGACGAAGACCAGTGTAGCAAAGCCCGAGCTTCAACATTGTTATTTAAATCCTGATAAACTCTTTCAGCAATGATTTTTAACACAATAAGCATATGACCTAGAGAAGCGAAAGCCATAGAGCTTATTTGAAAGACCTTGCGATATGAGATGCCTAAGCAATTCAGAGTTGATTAGAGTCTCTAGTACATTTCCAAAAAGAGGGTGTAGGCTAATAGTCTAATAGAAGGATCAGATGGTTCACCTGAGTTCTTAAAGTTTGGAACTACAGAAGTAGATTTCCAACAAGCTGGGAAGTAAGAAACAGCAAGGTGTTTCTTGCAGATTTTAGAGAGAACAAGTGACAGTTCAGGAACGCATTCCTTAAGGACTATTGGAGGGATATCATCAAGTCTACATGCTTTGTGAGAATCCAGTTTAGTAATGATAACAGAAAACTTGGTCAGAGTTATAGGCATGCCATTCAACATAGACGTATTTCTGAGTGGAAAGCCGATCAAATGTACTTCAGATGAGTCAAGCGTAGAATATGAAGAGAATTTACAAGCAAAACAAACTGCTTTATCTGTAGAAGATATTAACACCTCTAAATGAGTGAAAAGACGAGCGAAAGAAGACATATCTAAATATAAATATGCAAATCTAACTTTCTATCGCTGAAACTTCCTAACAAGTGGACGGAACGATTACAGAATGGTACGTCTATATAACTCCAAAGTCGAGGTGCTGAATTTAACATCGATCAGCTAAGTGAAACATTTTAGTTGTATTAATCCTATCTATCTATTTAGTAATTTACTAAGTGTAGCCTTGCTATGATATGGGATCGAGAGTATGGAGAAGCAGTGAGGATCGAACTCACTAATCGTAATTTTAATCGTAATTGTTCTAGCGGGACAAGCCTGGTAACCGTTACACTAGGTCGAGGTACCCATATTACGCTACTGTCGATATCCGTAACGTGGGGTAACCCTATCTGAATAACAAAAAAAGATTTCTTTCACTGTTACAGGTATAAATATATTTCTTCCTCAGGTGATATAAATATAATTTCCAAACGTAATGTCAATCGACATCTCCAGTTGCCTTGAACCCGTAGAACACGCATACACGGGGTCGGGTAGCTGTCTACCTCCTGAAACGAAGCTCGGGATTTCGTTCCTCATCTCCCAGAGGTCGACTAGCAGAGCTTTAACGAATTGTAGTCGTTAAGTCCTCCGTATTTACCCGAGACCACACAAGGCGGGAGATGGTACAAGGCCGTTTTTTTTACGTGGAGGGTACCGAGTCCGTAGGCTCGGGCGAAAATTGTCCGTAGATCCCGAATACAAAGGGTCGGGTGGCTGGCTACCACCCTGGACGAGATTCTGCCCTTCAGCATAGCCTCCTCTGGGTCGACAAGTATATTTAATTGTAATTGGTACGTCCTTTCCATCAGTAAAAGAGAGTGCTGTTTAAATAGACAGTCTATCTTGTGGCGGTGTTCAGCTATTCCACAACACTTTCTCTCTTTACGTATTCATTCTTTTTTTTTCTTTTCTTTGTTTCTTCCTTACTTTCTTTTATTGTTCTTTCTGTTTATTTCTCTTCTTTTCTTTCTTTTCTTTTCTTTCTTTCTTTCTTTCTTTCTTTTATTCTTTTTTTCTTCATATATTCGTTCTTTCTTTTCGTTTCTTTCTTTCTTCATATATTTGTTCTTTCTTTTCGTTTCTTTCTTTCTGTTATTCCTTCTGTCTTCATATCTTCGTACTTTCTCTTCTTTTCTTTCTTTCTGTTACTCATTCTTTTTTCATATATTCGTCCTTTCTTTCAAGGGCACTGTACTTTTTTTTCCTTGTCTTCTTTTATACCCCCTCCGTTACCGTTCGTTCTGCTATATTTTATTCTTTTTACTAACCTTCATTCATTCATTCATTCTTTCTTTCTTTCTTTCTTTCTTTCTTTCTTTCTTTCTTTCTTTCATTTTCGATCCGCAGTCACTGTGCGTCAGCATTCAGAAATTTCTTCAACCTACCTTCCTTTCACAAAATCAATATTTCAATAGCCAAACAGTTTGAAAGTTAGATGTGCCGAAATCTCTTTAACATCCTTTCATATCTCTTCTTCAATTGCTATCATTTTTTTTTTCTTTTACATTTCTTTCCCTCAATAAAATGCCACGTACTTCTTCAACATATTACCAATGCCTCCATTTCAATGTGAATGCTGTCACAAGCCATTTAGCAAAAGCCAATCATAACGTGTTTCCGCCCGGCCGAACGACGTTAATTTTCCTCCTCTTGCCTCTTTGCAAACAATCTGAGAGATTTCTCGGCATGATTCCAGCTGAGAAAATTGCCGTATAACTATCCCTCTATTACACCCCTTCTCTTCAAAACAGCAAAACGACAGCATGTTGTCTTTGGTCGATGACGAAAATCTCTTTTATAATAACACGACACGATAAAAATCATTCATCAATCCAGAGACATAAAGGTTTCTCTTCTTCGCTAACAATAAATATCTATCACACTGCTTATTTCTAAAAAAAATATTACTATCCGAGTCCTCTTCTGTAAGCGGCTTTAAAATATTTTAAAGTGTTCATATATTTATTTAACGTAAATTTATTAAGTGATTTGTACAAAACATTGGACCGTCCTGGGTATGACGATAAACTACATCCGCGTCTTAGGTAAGACGATAAACTATGTCCAACAGTAAGGCCTCTGACTAGGAGGTTTTGAGGAGCGTGGAACCACGTCTTAATTGCTGGTGTCCCCTGGTCCACCCTGACAGGGGTGGTAGCACCTGTTAGGGTCCCAGCTATGGGTAAATAGTTAACCTTCAAACTGGAGTAAAACCACTATGAATGTGTAAAAATAGGTTTTAATACCAGAAATACTTTATAGAAAATTATTACCAGCAATAAATTTTTGTAAAAACAAATATTACCAGAAAAACATCATTGAAAAAAATATTACCAGCAATATATTTTTGAAAAAATAATAATTACCAGCAATACATCGTTGAAAGAAAAAAATATTACCAGAAATAGATTTTCGACAAAAGATAATATTATCAGAAAAAAAAATTGTCGGCATTAAATAACCCATTAAGGTTGATATGTCGTAAACCAAACCAAACCAAACCAAACCAAAACATTGGATATGGAGTTGAACGTAACTCACGGACCAATTGAAGAAGATAGTGGAAATATTTCAAAGAACAAAACAAGAACTGTCTTCGTGAATGTAACAAAAATATTGATAACAACTGATTAGCATGAAAATATTGAAAGCTGATGTTGCGAATGTAGGAGGAGAAAAAAGATGAATTAATATTTATTGATTAAAGAAAATGAAAGCAAAAAAAAATGAAAAGAAAAATGTATGTTGGTTAAAGAGATCAAACCAAATAGACTATAGTATAAAACGAAACATCTCAAAGAGAAACGCCCGAGAATTCCATGAAAATATACATTCTCGGTAATATTTTTTTAGTGATGAATGTAGAGCTATATTGGACGGAGATTATGAATGGGTGAGAGTTTTGATGTGCAAATCAGTTGCAAGTGGAGTAATATCTTTTGCTAGAAATTAAGGGGGTGACATTTTTGGTCCGTTCGAACTGGCCAATGTGAACACATAGAATTATTGTAATTTATTCAAAAGATATTCTTCGCGTCTACGAAAATAAAGACTGCCTTGATGCATCTTCACGCTTATTTAATAAAAAAAAGTATCTTTCTAATATATATATTTTATATATTCCCATATAATAAATATAGAAAAGGTATCCCATGCTAGAAAAACGAATACATATATATATATATATATATATATATATATATATATATATATATATATATATATATATATAAATATTGAGCATTGAAATAACATCAGTGAATAGACATCAGGTTGCTTCAAGCCGGATCGTCAGGCTGTTTTATGCTAGACGCAAATAAACATCAGGCTGCGTCTTATATTTTCAAAGCTCTATCTCTGATACAGAGCACTTTATCCCATAAATATATAAACACACCTTTATGACTATATTTCTTCACACACACACACACACACACATTAAATTCCATTTCTTAATATATATATATATATATATATATATATATATATATATATATATATATATATATATTATACAATTTCGCTGTAAATGTATTTAATACTGTTTAATTAAAAACAGAGCATTTGTATCTATAACAATATCGTAGACAGAAAATATCGTAAACAGAAAATATATTAAAATAATTGTCGGGTTTAATCCATTATATATATATATATATATATATATATATATATATATATATAGATAGATAGATAGATAGATAGATAGATAGATAATATTTGTGTTAAATATACACATACATATGATGCAATCAGATATCTAAAATACATACATACATACATACATACATACATACATACATACATATGTCTATAAAAATAATTCCAAGAGGATAGAATCCAGGTAGAACTCCATGTCCAGGACAGAGAAGGATATAATAAAAGGCTTAAACACTAATATTCCATGGTCATAATTTATTCCATTGGAATCGTAAATACGATCAATTCATCAGACCTACAAATTAAAATAAACAAATTTTTGAATTTGTAAGTCTGATGAATTGATCGTATTTACGATTCCAAATGAAATCAATTATGATCATGGAATATTAGTATTTAAGCCTTTTTTTATACACACACATTATTATTATACACACACACACACACACACATATAAATATATATATATATATATATATATATATATATATATATATATATATATATATATATATATGCAATGAGTATAGCTTGATATTTTAACTTTTTTCTTTGAAAGAACCAACGATGGTCGAAAATTCTACATAATATTACATTTTGTCAATACCATGAAATCAAAGATTTTATTCGACACTAAAGGAAATATACCAAATTAGCAAGATAGTTTCCTTCTCTTTTCTTTTCCATAAAATATGTCTATGTATATATAAATTTCGTTAACGACCAATGGAAGTTTATTGTATTCCAGAATTTCATAAAATCTGTTTGATGTTGGACCTGTCGCTTTTCATACTTAATGCTTAAAGAATATTTTTTTGTGTTTTGACAGTCCATGTGATGTCGTTTTGAAAAGGTTTTCTCAAATTTCTTGTGTTTTTCTACTGTGATTATATGGGATTTAACTGAACGATAATCAGATAAATGACACAAAAGCCTATGCGATAATGTACTGGTTGTGAAACCAATGTATGTTAACCTTATACGAGAAACCAGGCAAATGATCTGAAGTACAGAAAAAAGATTACTTTCTCTTGCATGTCTTTAACAAAAAACACACACACACACACACACACACACACACACACACACACATATATATATATATATATATAATATATATATATATATATATAATCACCCCAAGCAAGGCGGGAAGCCACTAAGACGCAAGCGGTTACAGAAGATTTGGAGCAAGATCAGATAGGAATGATAGAGGAAAGGATGAGGTGAAGAATAGTGGATAGATCAAGACAACTGGAGATGTCGATTGACATTACATTTAAATAGTTGGAGATTATAACTCTCAGGAAAACTGGAATAGGGAAGGACGCTCCACAGGTGGGATGTACGAGACATGAAGTTATTGGAGTAGAAGAGACGGCTACATTTAATAGTTTCGACAGTGAAAGGGTGAGAGCGGGATGCCAGTCTTGTAGGACGCTTGATCTCATGAAGTCTGGCAACCAGCGAATGCAGCTTCTCGGAGCAATTGCCATGAAAGTATTTGTAAAAAAGACAGAGAGAGGCGACAGCACGTCTGTGAGAAAGTGACTGTAGACGAGATGCCAGAGCAAGGCCAATTATATTGCATATCCGCCTCTGCAGCTTATCAAGAACCCCGAGGCAAACAGAAGGGGCTCCAGACCATATATAGCAGCAATACTCCATGGAAGGGCGAATGGCTGATTTGTAGATTTGAAGGATCGATTCCGGGGAGAAAGTTTTCCTGACGCGGCGCAGGGAGCCAAATTTCCTTGCGGTGGACGAAGCAAATGCCTCAATGTATTTGTTCCATCTCAGGTCAGCAGTCAACGTGAGACCGAGCAGCCGCAGAGAGGTGCCTCGAGAAGTTGACTATCAGATATTCTAAGGGTGTGGGGGGGAGGATTTCTGTGGTGATTAATAGAGATCAGTTTTGTTTTTGAGGCATTAAAGTTGACCAGCCAGACGATTTCAGTGATGGCCGTAAGCACATCAGCAGTAGATAATAAAAAGTGGAAAGCCATATTGCTTGTCTGAGAGCAGATCATGGGATGTAAGTTGGTTAACCACTTCTGTATTGATTAGGGCTTCGAAGACTTTGCCGAAGAGGGGTAGGAGACTGATAGGACGGTAATTAGAAGGGTCAGATGGGTCGCCAGAGTTCTTGAAGACAACAACAATCAAAGAGGACTTCCAGCAGTCAGGAAAACAAGATTCCTTGAGGCAGTAGTTATATAGTTTAGAGAGGGCGGGCGCCAGTTCAGGCGCGCATTTCTTCAAGACAATGGCTGGTATCCCATACCCACCACTAGCCTTGTTGGGGGTCTAATTTGAGATAATGCCCAATACCAAATACGGGGTTATGTAACCCACTCAATAGGGCCTCTAAGAGGAAGTCGGGTATGGATACACCGGAAGAGTCAAGGGTTAAGTTGAATGAAAATTTTCCTCTTTTCTGATATTCTTTTTTTTCATTCCTGACATTCTCCAGTTTATAATCTTTCTTTCTTTCTTTCTTTCAAACGTACAATTCTTTTTCTCTTTCTTTCTTTCACAGATATTAATTTTGCTTCGTCAGGCACACCTTTCTTTCTTTCTTTCAAACGTACAATTCTTCTTCTTCTTCTTCTTCTTCTTCTTCTTCTTCTTCTTCTTCTTCTTCTTCTTCTTCTTCTTCTATCACACAAATGAACAAATTCAAGGTGACAAGATCCGCTTTCCAAAACTCCAGAGAGAAACATTTGTCCTGACAACGTTCTCTTTGCTTTAGCTAACATTTTTTTAAAAATAGACAAAGAAGGAGAAACAGTGAGATACCATAAACGGATAACAATGCCAATCTTCCCAAGCAAGGAAAGCTGTGATGACTTTAGGATTGAGATTATGGCGATCTGAGTGAAAGGGAAATATCAAGCGCGGCAAAGGCAAAAATGGCGGCAATAAAAGCGAGGCAATAAAATACGGAGAAATTAAAAGTGGAAAATATAATGAAATGTGAAGCTGGGTCGTCATTTCAAGAAGAAAATGCTGCCCGTAATAAAAATAGACAAAGATGCTTCTGCCAAATATTGACTTGCGACGAATCGGCGAAAAGGGCGAGAGAAAGTAGGAAGAAAGTGGGAAAGAGGGAATGACACTGAATATGAAAGATAAACTAAAAAAGAAAACGTGTGTTCATAAATGAAAATGCGTTGATTAAACAGAGAACCAAACGAATAATGAAGGAATTGAAGGAATTGAAGGAACGAAAGAAAATGAGAAAGAAATAAGATATAAAGGAAGACATGAAGAAAATGTAGATGGCTTGAAAGAAGAACCAAAGAAAGAAGGAATAATACATCGAAAATAAACAAAGAAATGATAAGGAGGTGGGGGTGAATATATGATAAATAAATAATAAGTACATAAATGAGGGAGAAAGAAAGAATGATCGAAAGAAAGAAAGAACGAGAGAAAGAAATAGTAAAAAAGAAAGAAAGAAAGAGAAAAGGAATCATGGCATAAAAGAAGCAGTGAAAAAAGTGTGAAAGAAAAATGAAAGAAGAAATAATAAATAAAAAATAAACAAAAAATACAAGGGAGAAAGAATACATGATAAATAAATAATAAGTAAATAAATGAGCGAGAAAGTAGGAAAGAACGAAAGAAGGAAAGAAAGAAAGAAAGAAAGAAAGAAAGAAAGAAAGAACGAACGAAAGAAAGAAAGAAAGAAAAAAGAAATAAAGAAGAAAGAAAGAAAAAAGAAAGAAAGAAGAAAGAAAGAAAGAAAAAAGGAAAGAAAGAAAGAAAGAAGGAAAAAAGAAAGAAAGAAAGAAAGAAAGAAAAAAAAAAGAAAAAAGAAAGAAAGAAAGAAAGAAAGAAAGAAAGATGATATAAAAGAAGAAATGAAGAATGTGGGTATAGTTTAAAAGAATGAGGAAAGAAAGAAAGAATATTTAATTGAAAGGAAACAGAGATATGATAAAGCGAAAAAGAATACAGGATAAATACTAAAGAAATTAGAGACAAAGAAAGAAAGAAAGAAAGAAAGAGGAATACGATATGCTAAATATATTGGCCAATAAGAAAGAATGAAAGAAAGAAAGATGAATAGGATAATGTAAAATTTCATTGCATTGGTTAATAACAACGAAAACAGAAAGAAAGAAAGTGTTGTAGAGTAGTTTTCACAGTTGAGGCTTGTATTTCACTGAGTCGGTCCTAAAAAGGTTCGACGTACGAAAAATAAGGAACTTGAAATAATAGTTAATGACGCAGCAATCTAGTTGTGGTGGTTGATACTTTAATGTCCAACATTGACTGACTGACCAACTCACTGAGCGGTATTCAGTCACCCTACTCCCCTCCACGAGGGTATCATGTGGCACAAGGCCAGTGGGCTCGGCCAAAAATATGCCCTTTTAACCCGTATAAACAGGTTCAGGGTCGCTTTATCTCCCCGAAAGAGACTCCGCCCTTCGGCGTAGCCTCGTTCGGGTTCCTCCCCGCCCGAAGGCAGGGAGTTCAACCGGTCAGCTGGTCGTCCGACTTCAGACTGAATTCAGACCAACTCACTGAGCTCACTGGCGACTGCTACTAGGACTACTTATTATATGTGGGAGAGTCTATTAACAATAGAATAGGTGTGTTACAGTATTACAGAAAAAAGAAAGAAAGAAAGAAAGAAAGAAAAAAAAAGTGAAAGAAACAAAGAAAGAACAAATGAAATAAAAACAGAACAATAATAAAAGAAGGAAAAATAAGCAAAAGAAGAAAAACTTAAGTCCAAAAATAAAGCATGAATTAATTCGGTAAAAGAAAGATGTTGTAAAAGAATGAAGGAAGAAATTGTGTAATGCTTGAAAGAAAAAGAAAAAGAAAAGAATAATAAAATGAAAACAAACTAATGATAATGGGTGAAGGAATATATGAAAAAATAAATAAATCACTTAAAAAAGAAAGAAGAGTTGGTTAAAGTAAACTGAGGACTGCATTGATTAGTAACACAGACAGAGAAAGAAAGAAAGAAAGACGAAATTAAAAGAAATTAAAGAAAAAGAAGAAAAAAGAAAGATACAGAGAAAGAAAAAAAAGATACATAGAAAGAAAGAAAAGAAATAAAGAAAAAAAAAAAAGAAAGAAAGAAAAGAAGGACGGAATTAAAAGAAAGTAAGAAAAAGAGGAAAAAAGGAAGAAAGAAAGAAAGAAAAAAGAAAGAAAGAAAGAAAGAAAGAAAAACGAATTAAAAGAAAAGTAAGAAAAAAAGAGGAAAAAGAAAGAAAGAAAGAAAGAAAAAAAAGAAAGAAAACAGAATTAAAAGAAAGTAAGAAAAAGAGGAAAAAGAAAGAAATTAAGAAAGAAAGAAAGAAAGAAAGAAAACATGGAATTAAAAGAAAGTAAGAAAAGAGGAGAAAAAGGAAGAAAGAAAGAAAGAAAAAAAAAAGAAACAAAGAAAGAAAGACGGAATTAAAAGAAAGTAAGAAAAGAGGAGAAAAAGAAAGAAATTAAGAAAGAAAGAAAGAAAGAAAGAAAGAAAGAAGGACGGAATTAAAAGAAAGTAAGAAAAGAGGAGAAAAAGGAAGAAAGAAAGAAAGAAAAAAGAAAAAAAGAAAGAAAGAAAGAAAGAAGGACGGAATTAAAAGAAAGTAAGAAAAGAGGAGAAAAAGAAAGAAAGAAAGAAAGACGGAATTAAAAGAAAGTAAGAAAAGAGGAAAAAAGGAAGAAAGAAAGAAAAGAAAAAAAAAAAAAAGAAAGAAAGAAAAGAAGGACGAATTAAAAGAAAGTAAGAAAAGGAGAAAAGAAAGAAAGAAAAGAAAGACGGAATTAAAAGAAAGTAAGAAAAGAGGAAAGAAAGAAAGAAAGAAAGAAAAAAAAAGAAAAAGAAAGAAAGAAGGACGGAATTAAAAGAAAGTAAGAAAAGAGGAGAAAAAAAAGAAAGAAAAAAGAAAGAAAAAGACGGAATTAAAAAGAAAGTAAAAAGAGGAGAAAAAAGAAATTAAGAAAGAAAGAAAGAAAGAAAGAAAGAAAAGAAAGAAAGAAAGAAAGAAGGACGGAATTAAAAGAAAGTAAGAAAAGAGGAGAAAAGAAAGAAAGAAAGAAAGAAAGAAAGACGGAAAAAAAAGAAAGTAAGAAAAGAGGAGAAAAGAAAAAGAAAGAAAGAAAAAAGAAAAGAAAGAAAGAAAAGAAAAGAAGGACGGAATTAAAAGAAAGTAAAAGAGAAAAAGGAAGAAAGAAAGAAAGAAAAAAAAAAAAAAGAAAGAAAGAAGGACGGAATTAAAAAGAAAAAGAAAAAGAGGAGAAAAAAGGAAGAAAAAAAAGAAAGAAAAAAAAAAAAAGAAAAGAAAGAAAGAAAGAAGGACGGAATTAAAAGAAAGTAAAAAAGAGGAGAAAAGGAAGAAAGAAAAAGAAAGAAAAAAGAAAAAGAAAAGAAAGAAAGACGAATTAAAAAAAGAACGTAAGAAAAGAAAGAAAGAAAGAAAGAAAAAAAGAAAAAAGAAAGAAAAAAAAAAGAAAATAAAAAAAAACTGAAAAAAAAGAAAAATGTAAGGAAAAATTAAAAACAAAAAAACTGAAAAATGTCGAAAAGTATATAAGCCCGAAATAAATAGATAGATAGATAGATAGATAGATAGATAGATAGAAATAGAGATAGAAAGAAAGAAATGAATAACATAAAATGAAATGAGGAAACAAAAACAAAACAAAAAACAAGGAAAAAAGAAAAACTGAAGAAAATAAATTGCAGAAAAAAATAATAAAAACATGGAAAAGGAAAAAAATCATTTGAAAAGAAAGAAAACTGAAAAAAGGCAAATAAAATGGAAAATATGTAACGCCAAACAAAAAATAAACCGAAAAAATCCTATAAAAAAATATTGTAAGAACCCCCCACCCCCTGCAAGAGAAAAATTGAAATGGGCTTACAAGAAAGTAATGCCATAGATTGTCTAACGAAGTGTCGAATAAGAAAAGAAACAAATAAGAAAAAGTGATCAGGATAACCGATCGAATAAAAACTCAAAGATACAAACAATCGTCAGAACTATTTAAATCAAACTCTATAAGTAAACAAACACAGGCAAAGCAGAAGAGAAAATGGCGATGCAATTAATAGATTTTGTCAACGCTGTCAGAAACCGCAAATACTAGAAGTTTATCTTCCTTCAACAAACACTTAATCGCCTTAGCATAGGCTCACGTGTAATCGATGGGAAAAAGAAATACAAAAGGAAATATAACTGCCAAATAACTACTTCTTCTTTTCTGTACCCTGTCCCTTCAGGACGTGGGCGATCATGGCTTTCCACAACCGTCCTACCCTTTGCAGTATATTTGTCTTTTTACAATCCTCCCCACTTCCCGCTTTGTCACCCATTCACATTAGCGCATCACCTAGGTGCCTCTCCAGCCCAACCTCGTGGTCTGTTTTGCTTTTTATCTGCAAAACAACGGAGACATGGACATTTTATTTCGGGGGGGGGGGAGAATGAGAGTGAAATCACGAGACTATGTTAATTATAATCAGTTTTTCATTAGTATTCCTTCGCCATCACTTTAATTGTTTTTCATCGGAAAATCTCAGATAATCATGGATGGAAAATAAAAAATAGCTTTGGCACAGTGTTAACCCCACTTACTTTCCTAAAAAGCCGCCGCAAGGGTATGATCTCTAAGCCTATTAACAGTAACATTAGCATCTGTTTATATTTCTGAGATGAGGTATTATGTACATTATTTGCATTATTCGAACTATCGTTCTCATCTTTGTCGCCATATTTATTACAACGTTTCGGCCGTTGTACGATCCGGCCTTCTTCAGGTGGTTGGAATGTCGAACTGAATCCTTTATTTTGCTCATTGGGGTAAACTGTTCTAGTTCCAGGTGCCATATTTAATGGATGTCAGTTATCTCCTGTTAATTATCCTCTCCAAGTTCTCCACTGCCTTAACCGGATATTGAACTCACACTCTTTGAGTCCTGTCACTGGATCTAACCAACGCCACTGTGCCATGTGTCCTCAAGGAGACATGGAACTTGGAGCGGGGAATTAACAGGTAACTGATAACTGGCAACCACGGCCGAAACGTTGTAATAAATATGGCGACAAAGATGAGGACAAGAGTTCGAATAATGTAAATAAGTAACATTAGCCTATTAATAGTAACATTCTCTGCCATCTTCTTTTTACTGTTAGTCTCGTAGACGGTAAGATGTAGGACAAACACCCCCGCGCGCGCACACACACGCACACACACATACAAACACACACAAGAACACGTACGTCAGCACCTTTCTCTTCACTTTCCATTACTTTTCAATATGGCTTCTACACAAACACCTTCACTAGTTGAATTTATTTCTTCTTCCATATCCATTGTTTTTTCACACGCACAATCTTCTATTTTCTATTTATATCTTTGTTTTGTTAATACATATAAAATAAAACAATTCAAGATTAAGCATTTAATCATAATGGTGGGATATCTATCATTCAATATATCTATATACATACGATGCTCTGGATGTAGCGGCTTGGGTATAGTAGTCAAGGCTCTTGGGGGAACACTCCTATGGGTAAGGGAATGAGTTCCATCACGGAATCGAGCGGCGCTATATCGAGTCTAATTTGTTAACTCTTCGTCACCCAGGCCCGTTGGTATGACGCTTGCCTGATAACATAACTGTCCGGGTTTCATTTCTCTGTAGTGGATACGCACTGCTGATGATTCCCTGTTATGGTCCGGTTCCTTGTAGCACGGTGATGGTCCAAGGTAGAACCAATAAAGAAGAACTCGAAGGTGGATATGGAATAACACAGATATATTACAAACAGGAATATATACAGAGAAGTAGAAAGTGTTAGTACGAACAATCAGGTTTAGTAGTAATTGTCTGAACGCGACTCTGTTTCGGACTGCCTCTGACTCGACTGATTGACTCTCTCGCTCTGACTGACAAACTCCTGACGGGCCTCACACCAGACTTCAGACTGAACAGTATTTAGTCACCCCCACCCCCACGAGGGCATCATGTGGCACAAGGCCGGTTTAACGTGGGATCTCCGAGCCCGTGGGCTCGGCCAAAAATATGCCCTTTGAAACCGACCCTGAAACCGACCCTGAACCCGTATAAACGGGTTCAGGGTCGGTTTACCTCCCCGAAAGAGAATCCGATCTTCGGCGTAGCCTCGTTCGGGTTCATCCCCGCCCGAAGGCAGAGAGTTCAACCGATCAGCCGGTCAGCCGGTCATCCGATTTCAGACTGAACGGTGTTTAGTCCCCCCGCCACAAGGGCATCATGTGGTACAAGGCCGGTTTAACGTGTGATCTCAGAGCCCGTAGGCTCTGCCAAAAATATGCCCTTTGAACCCGTATAAACGGAGTCAGCGTCGGTTTACGTTCCCGAAAGAGCCTCCGACCTTCGGCGTAGCCTCGTTCAGGTTCCTCCCCGCCCGAAGGCAGAGAGTTCAACTGATCAGCCGATCAGCCGGTCGCCCGACTTCCGACTGAACTCCCTGCTTCCTCTTGAGGCGCAGTATTTATTACGTATGGAATAGTCCATTATGTTATTATGGGTAAAGTCCCATAACACTCCCAAATATAGGACGAAACGGCCGTCCAGTACTTTCTCCATTCAGTTGAGGTATCTTCTGGACTCGATGATTTACTTAATTATAATTATCCCAAATCCTCGTAATATATATATATATATATATATATATATATATATATATATATATATATATATATATATATATATATTAAGAAATGGACAAAGTCCGACAATTTATTTATTAAAGACATTTTTATGTTTAAAAGAACGTTAAACATAAAAATGTCTTTAAATATATATATATACAAACATATATTTATCACCACTTCAACTTAAGATCTTATGATGTAAATCTGAAGCGTAGTTTTATTCTTTTACTCTTGGAATTTCTAGATGTAACCGTAAGTTTTATGCAAGCAGTTTCCAAGGCATATCTCCAGGATTTTTGGTGTCGTTCCTTCCCCTTTTTGTTTTAACTGTACTCTCTTAAATGTATCCACAAAACGTTCCACCTGACCATTTGATCTGGGTGAAATATATGTTTTATATATGATATGTTTTATAGCATTACGTTGGCAAAAGTCCGAAAATTTTCTTGATGTGAATGCAGTGCCATTATCTGACACCAATGTCTCCGGAATCCCAAATATGCTAAAGAACTGTTGTAATTTTAGGATAGTTTCCTCAGAGGTGATGCGATGAAGTAAGATAAGTCTATTTATGGGTTCTGCCAAGTCAGTGTGCAGACATGACCAGAGGGTATCTGGAATAGGCCAGGAATTCAATGTATTTTTCCTGGGAGATTTTACTGCTTGTTGACAGAACATGTCTGTACAAGTTCTTCTAGTTGCTTGTCCATGTTGGACGAGTAAACATAGCTACATGCTAAGGCTTTGAGACGTCTAATACCATGATGACCAAAATGAAATTGTTCATGATACTATTTGGTAATGTTGATGGAACAATTACACACTCAGCATAAAGAATACACCCATCAATCTGAGACAATGATGACTGACGCTGAAATAAAGCGTTTTTTTTCTGTTTCATAACTTGGACCACTTGATATGGCGGAAGTGTAAAACTTATTTGAATAATGGCTCAGAAGTTGTAGCCTTTCGGACAATTTGCGTAGTAACGAGGTTGTAGCCTTTCGGACAATTTACTTAGTAACGAGGTAGTGCTTGGATGCAAGCACTGACATAAGTCATGGTTCCATAGATAATACTGCAATTACTGAATCCTATTGTATCTTGGTTTGCGTATTCATGAGTCTGGATAAGGCATCTGCATGAGCCATTGCCTCAGTTGAATGATATCTGATGGAGTGTTAAGGAGTGGTTTCACAGTGGAGGCTTGTATTTGTACTAAGTCGGTCCTAAAATAGGTTCGACGTTCAAAACGTTAGGAAATTGATATAAAAGGTATGACGCAGATAAAATCTAGTTGTGGTCGCTGCTACTTTAGTATCCGACTAACGTTCGTCCGGCATCGACTGACTGACCAACGATATTCAGTCATCCCCCCACGAGGGCATCATGTGGCACAAGGCCTTTTTAACGTGGGTTCTCCGAGCTCGTGGGCTCGCCCAAAAATATGCTAATTGAACTCGTATAAACGGGTTCAGGGTCGGTTTACCTCCCCGAAAGAGACTCCGCCCTTCGGCGTAGCCTCGTTCGGGTTCCTCTCCGCCCGAAGGCAGAGAGTTCAACCGATCAGCCAGTTGACTGATTGACCAACCCACTGAGCGACTCCTACTACTCCTACTTATTATAGGTGGGAGAGTCTATTAACAATAGAATAGGTGTGTTCCACTATAACATGGAGAAATCATAGTCTAACATCAGGGTAACTTATCTTTGCACAAGGTTAGCTGTATAGACTGGAATTCTTTCCTTGAATTCGAAAATGCTAACAAGCGGCTTATGATCCGTGATCAAAGTGAAATGGCGCCTATATAACATTTTATTAAACTTCTTTGTGGCGAAAATAAATTGCTAAGGATTTTTTTTTTCAGTCCTTCCATAGTTTCGTGCAGCAAGTATCACTTAGCTGGATAAATGAACTATTGTTTTTTGGCTGCCATTGCGGAAACTATGTGAAATGACGGTTCCACTACCGTAATCGGAAGCATCCGAAACTACAATAAAGTCCATGGTTAGGTTACGGTGTGTAAGCAACATTACTGAAGAAATTAAGGATTTTATCTTTTTAAAGATAGACTGGCATACGGAGGAACATTTCCAACGTTTTATCCTTTTTTAAAAGATTATTGAGGAAAGCGCGGACCCGATGAAGTTCTGGCAAAAAAATGCAATGCATTGGTTAACCATTCCAAGGAAAGAACGTAAGCTTTTCATATTTGCCAGTGCCGGTATGTTATTTATGGCAGATATATTCTCTGGGTCTGACCGTCGACCACTATTTTTGTCAAACCCAGATACTTAATTTGTGTCCGAAAAAATGCACATTTTTCTGCCCGTACATGGAATCCATATTACTGAATTCGTTCAAAATTGGAAATCAACAGTTTGAAAGGTTGATCCTGGATTGCCCCTGTAACGATAATAACATCAATAAATGCCCCAACTGCTGTCAATCCGATCAAGATAGCGTCCATTGCTTGTTGGAATATGGATTGAGCTGGTTTGACTTCGAAAGGAAGGAGCTTAAACGTAAATAGCCCCAAGTGAGTGTTGATTGTCAGAAGCTCTTTGGACTCCACATCAACCCGCCAACTGCAAGAAATTGATCAGACAAATCAATTTTGGCAAAATAATGTCCACAATTTAATTCTGTGAAAAGATCTGGCACAGGGAGTGGATATTGATGCGCCCCCAAGGAGTTGTCTAACCCAGTTGAAGAATCAGCACATATCCTAACCTTTCCATTCGTCTTTTTAACAACAATGGGAGCTGCTGATGCAGAGTAATTTGTTGGCTGTCATACACCTGCTTGCTAAAGACGTTCCAACTCTTTGTTTAATATGTCTAGTGTAACGTAGGGTATTAGACGTTTGGGTCTGAAAATCGGTTTTGCAATCGATTTTAACTTCAGAGTAGCCTTTGACTTGATACAGTATCACAGAATCTCTTGAAAAAAAGGTTGCCAAATTTAGCGTTGAGTATTTCTGTGAATTGCTTCTCATTATAAGAAACAGAAGAGAGTTCGCGCGTGTTAAACATATGTTTCAGAGGAATATAAAAAAAATGCTTAGTACATCTATCCAGTCCAATATATGTAGGTTTAATTCAGGTTTAATGCTTCAAAAAATGTCTGTTTTTGAAAGAAATATTACAAACCAACTCACCCGTCAGCTGAATTGTGTCGCCCGACGCGCTCAGAACTATATGTTGTGTTTTCGTCATCGCCAGTGTCAAGCTGTGTCGAATTGAAAACAGACTGGGCTTTTGTTAAAAATAAACAGTAAGGTTCTATGTGTTGGACGTTTCGTCTTTCTGAGGGTTACAAAACTCTCCTGTGTCTCTGAACTGATGACATCTCTGATACCTATGCTTATTAAATGGTCAGAAGCGTGAAAATGACAATGTGCGCATTGCCAGCATGCTGTGGGAGGAATCTTTTTTTTTGTGTTAGTTTTATTTTCTTTTGCTCGTACGCTATTGGTTGTAGACGGAGTAGTGGACAGCTGAACAATCATGGCGTCCTATGTAAGGATTAATAAACGTTGGCAGTGAGATGTTTTACTGTGACGTTTTTGTCCTGGTCCAATTTTGATAGTAACCGCGAGCGAATGTCTGCGTCTTGGGAGGACTGAAGTCCAGCAATAAATATCAGCCATTTAAATTGATCTTCTATGATTGAATGCAGCTGAAACTTTTTCAATTCGCAATTTACAAAACCAGCAAAGGTAATGTAGTAGTTGGCATCGCTCTTCTTCAGTTTGAGGCATTTGTATCGGACGGGAAAAAGCGACTGTTGAACGCTGAATATGTCCGTAAACTGCTTCACTGTTTCCGGGGAACTTAAATCCTTAGACTGTTTTGGGAGGATCAAATTTGTGTAGAGTTCGTGCTCCTGAGTACCAAGTTTTCTCAGTAAAAGATGAGATTTCCAGGCGTCGTCTTTATGAAAAAATTCAAAGATTCGTGTTGAAAAGTCTATTTCAATAGATTGTTTGATATATATATATATATATATATATATATATATATATATATATATATATATATATTCCATTATATTGTTGTGGATTCCGGTTGAAATCCGGTACCAATAAATAACAAACATAAAGAATGAATATAGGAAAATAAATGTATTAACGTAATGATACAAACTGGTAAAGCAGGTTAGTAGTTCCAGGAATACGGGTTAGTAGCAAAATATCTATACAGTCTTTGATATTGAAGTATCGCTGTATGACTTCTTACTGAGTCTACGTGCTCGCTCACTGTGACTCCTACAACGCTGTTACCGCACCCTCACTCTTCCGGTTACCTACAACCTTTTACGCTGTCACTCTCGACTCGACTCCTCGGGTAATCACTGGCAGTAGTAGAAGTATACAATAGGTGAGTCCATTTGTATAAAAAGGGGTGGTCCCCTCAACATATATATATATATATATATATATATTGATTGATTGATTGATTTAGATAGATTGATTGATTGAATGAGATAGATAGATAGATAGATAGATAGATAGATAGATAGATAGATAGATAGAAAAATTGAGTGACTGATATAAATAAATAGATTAATTGAATGATATAGAGAGACAGACTGATTAAACCATATAGCGTTGTAGCATATCTACGGACGTTTGTCCGCATTCACATAAATATAGTAGTAAATACTGTATGTTGGTCTGAAGTTGAGGATTCAATGTGGACTTCACTTGAGTCACTTCTATCAATTGACTACTTCTTCTACGCCCCGTTGACAAATCTTATATGTGTTGTTCTTGTCCTAAGTATTATCGTTCCTTACAAACTTTCGTTTTATTATTCTATTCGGTGACCTTTCCTAGATTATAACATATAGATAGATTGATTGAATAAAATAGATAAATAGATAGATCGAAAGATAGATTTATTGAATGATATACATAGATTTAGTGAACAATATAGATTAATTGAATGATATTTATTAGATAGATTGAGTGAATGATATACATAGATTGTATCACTGAATGATATAGAGAGATAAATAAATTGATTGAGTGATATAGATAGATTGAATGATAGATAAATATATTAATTGAATGAGATAGATAGATAGATAGATAGATAGATTGAATGATTTAGATTATATTTATTCGATAGATGAATGAATGATAAATAGATTTATTATATATTATATTATATATATATATATAAATTCGATTGAATGATTAAATAGATTGATTGAATGATATATATATATTGGTTGAATATATATATATATATATATATATATATATTTATATATATATATATATTGATAATGATATAAAGATTGCATATATATATATATATATATATAAATTGATTGAATGATAGAGATAAATATATTGGTTGAATGAGATAGATAGATAGATAGATAGATAGATAGATAGATAGATAGATAGATTGAATGATACAAATTTATTGAATTATATTTATTCGATAGATAGATTGAGTGAATGATATACATAGATTGCATATATATATATATATATATATATATATATATATATATATAATAAATTGATTGAATGATATAAATAGATTGATTGAATGATAGAGATAAATATATTGGTTGAATGAGATAGATAGATAGATAGATAGATAGATAGATAGATAGATAGATAGATTTAGGGAATGAGATAGATAGATAGATAGAGAGATAGATAGATAGAGAGATAGATAGATAGATAGATTCTCTTATTTATCTAAGCATTATATGATACATATGTTTATGTAGACATCCTTTTTTTAACGATGTAATTAACACTTGGACAAGCTTAACTCTTAATAAAGAGATTGTGCTCTTCCGCTAAGTTTGAACCTGCGCCTGCATTGCATTGTCGAAACAACCTTAGTGTTGATTTGCTTTAGACTGCTTAGCCGCGAAATACTTTTGAGAAAAGCCAGGCCTAATTACCATTTGCAGTTATATAAAGGTCGCAATAAATGTAAGCCGAATAGTTAATAACTTTTGTCAAAACTCATTGCTTTTGAAAAAAATCTTGGGATACCGAACAACAGATCTATTTCAACATCTAAATTAACTCATCAGCCACACGTAGGTTTCATGTTAAGAAGTCGACACAACTGGCTTTCTCTTGCCCAACCGCTTAGAATCACGCAAAGTTAATGGCCGTTTAATATTTATTGCGAAGAAAGAACCGGGAAGCGATGATCATCGCGAAACCTTCTGCTATTTTGCCGAATAAACATAATTCTTCTCACCAACTATGGAAGTCCACATTCGATAACATCCTAATAAACGGTAAATCTTTGTTATGGCGATTTAAATCAGAATATTGAAGCAAAATGGAATTCGTATTTAATTCAACAGCTGAAACTCTTTTCTTTTTTTTTTTTAATTCCGGCCTATCATTTAAAATTCAGTAAGATATTGATTCCGTTGAGTTAGGTTTGTTTTATTTTACGGACTATCAACCTCAATCGGATATTTAATGTCGACGAAATCTTTATTGCTGGTTTTTCCTCAGAAATATATTGATGGCAATATTTTTTTTTTAACAATGTATTGCTGGAAATAATTTTTTCTTCACGAATATATTTTGCTGGTAATTTTTTTTTTTTTTTTTTTTTTTTACGTATTGCTGGTATTAAAATCATATTTTACACTTTTTTATTTATCCCCAGTTTGACAATATCTGCGACCCTAAAAGGTGCTACAACCTCGGGTCAGGGTGGACTTGGGGACACCAACAATTAAGCAATGGCCTCACGTTCCTCAAATCTTCCTCATCAGAGACCTTGCTGTTGGATGTAGTTTATCGTCTTACTTAGGATGTGGGTGTAGCTTATCATCTTACCCAGGACGGGATTCAGTTGAGAATACAGGATAAGTTAAACGTCGAGAAAAAGAAAATAGTTTCATAGTTGAATTTTACCAAAAACGTAAACTGCATACAGGTCTTGATTTAATGAAAGCACAAACAGGATCGACGATTGTGCACATGCCATCTCGATTGAGAATTAAGAGAAGTTCCTAGAACAGAAAAATGGAAATATCTGGGAAATGTTCTAACAGAGGACGAAAAGTGTGGCACTGAAATCCGAAGACGCCTTTGGGATAGCCAAAGATGCATTCCAAGTGTTAAGGAGAATATTAAAGATGGGAAAAAAATCTTTAGAAATGAAGAAAAAAGTATTGAATTGATATATGGCAATAGATGCTGGAGAGTTTTCCTCAAAAAAATTAAAAAAGACTTGAAGGAACAGAAATGCCGTTTTAGAAAATGATGTTGATAATGACATGAACCAATCATGTGAACAACGTGGAGGATTTATAGAAAACTAGCAGCATGACCCGGCGTTGCCCGTGCTTGATTCAAAAATCGTACGACTCATACAGCAATCGCTATCACTTGACTTAAAATATTTTTCCCCTTCATTGCCTTTAAAGGAATGCCCTTTCGAAAGTTAACCGAGCATCAAGTTTAAAATTAATAAAAAACATTCAGAAATGAAATTTGGAAAAAAAATGTATTATTTATTGTTCTTAGCAAAGACTCAAGTCACCAATAAAGTTCGACGTTGATGTAAGAAGTATCCTACGATTGCTACACATATTTGATACATGGACTTCTGAATTCAAATAAGGAGGTATATATATATAGATGTATATACTAGCAGCATGTCCCGGCGTTGCCCGTGCTTGATTCAAAAATCGTACGACTCATACAGTAATCGCTATCACTTGACTTAAAATATTTTTGCCCTTCCTTGCCTTTTAAACGAGTGCCCTTTGCCGTGCTGATGTTGCTACCCTTACTTCTTGCTTATCTCACACTGCGAATTTTTTTTTCTAAGCTCTATACTAAACATTAAATCTGTTACGAAAAAAGAACTAAACAAAATGAACACAAAACGATCAGCTTTAAAAAAGGACGTAACTGGAAAACCGAATGAAAAGAATGTTGACAACAAATACTTTTTCACACCCAGTTCTGCGGAATCAGAATCAACGTTGATTTTCAGCAAGCGAAGGAGCCAATTGGAGTAAAGTGCCATGGAGATTTAAATTTTTCCCACTTGTGACGAATGCAGCTATCGATTTTTTTTTTTGCATGCTAGTTAACATTCGTGTCAGTCAGCTGTTGGCTCTCACGCTGGCCAATAGAATCTTCCTGCCTATTCGTGGCAGCCAGTTATAGGCTCTCACTCTGGCCAGTACGAAATGGCCGCAAACTACATGAAAACTGCCGTAGAAGCATGAAAAAATCGATTATTTCCACTATCGAAGGGAGTTGGGAAATGCAAAGTCGGTTTTGGCCTTCCCGCTAACATGGAGCATGTGCATGTAAATTTTGGTGGAAATCCGTCGAAAATTGCGGCCGTGCATTCGTTACCCCCCCCCCACACACACACACACATCCTGCCTTTTATAGATAGAGATTTATGTGTTTTAACATGGATAGCTGAAATCGCGTAAAGAAACCGTAAATAAAACCACGCTACTTCTTCATACGTCTTATCACTTCAGGATGTACATGATCATAGCTCTCCACAATTTCCTGTCTCTTGCAGTTCTAAAACAAATTACGTTCTTCTATCCATTTTTCTCAAGCTCACTAAGTATGTTATGCGTTGTTTTCTTCTTTCCCTCTCGTCATCAAACTGCCCTATAGGAACAAGTTTTCCAAGTCCTTCTTCCTCGATATGTGCTCCAGAAACTTCAACTTTCTCTTCCTTATGTTAATGATAAGTTTTCTTTTTGTTTCCATCTCTATCTATAAAAAATTCGCAGTGTGAGGATAGGCAAGAAGTAAGGCAAGTAGCAACATCAGCCCGGCAAAGGTCACTCCTTTAAAGGCAAGGAAGGGCAAAAATATTTTAAGTCAAGTGATAGCGATTGCTGTATGAGTAGTACGATTTTTTAATCAGGCACGGGCCATGCTGCTAGTAAAAATATATACAAGTTTTACTTACTATAGATCGAATTCATTGTTCAGTCGTAATTGATCTAGCGAGACAATTTTGCTAACCCTTTCATCATGAAGTGTCCTAATGATTTTCTAACTGTAGTTTAGATGGGGCACCCAGTGAGGAAAGATATCACTATTCATTCGTAAATGGTCTCGCGAGCAAAGCTCGCTAAACATTACACCACGTCGAAGTGCCCAAAATGTGGTTTTCTATGCGTAGCTTAGATATGGCACAAGGCCGAAAGCGTGGGGGATACAGTGTGGATCGAACTCCATATTCAGTTGTAAGTAATGGTAATTACTCCAAGGAGCTGCATTCGCTGGTTCCAGACTTCATGAATTCAAGCGCCCTACGAGGCTGGCATCCCGCTCTTACTCTTTCACTGTTGAAACTATTAAATGTGGCCGTCTCTTCTACTCCGATAGCTTCATATCTCGCACCTCTTGCCTTCACTATTCTTGTTTCCCTGAGAGCTATATTCTCCAGCTATTCAAGTGTAATGTCAATCGACATCTCCAGTTGCCTTGATCTATCCACTACCCTTCTCCTCATCCTTTCCTCTATCACTCCTATCTGATCTTGCTCCAAATCTTCTGTAACCCCTTGCGTCCTAGTGGCTTCCCGCCTTGCATGGGGTGAAACGCTTAAAAAAAAAAGTGAACTAGCGAGACACCCTTGCTAAAACTTACACCACGTCGAAGAGACCAAATATACATTTTACTGTTTTAGCTTGGATGTGGCACAAGGTCGAAAATCTGGGGCGCACATTGAGGATCGAACTCACTATGCAGTTGTAATTGATCTCGTGGGAAAGCTTGCTGACCATTGCACCACATCGATGTGCCGAATCTGCAACTTATTTTGAGTAAGTAAAACCACGAACACACGGATAAAAAAGGAATGGAGACAGAAACCAAAAATAGAGAAGTGTATATCTTCTCACCGAATTTATTCCACCTCTACAGCGGCGAGGCTATCTCGTGGGAGCTGAAAATCTTATTACAGCTTGTTATCGGTGGGTACAATCTTGACAAGTTAATATATTCAAATGAGTCTGTGTCGATGGTAGACAGAGAAAGAAAACTACAAGACCTCCTGGACAAGGTAATAAAAGAAAGTTGGAAAAAAGGACTAACCACCTTTGCAAAGAAAACAGAATTTAATGTTGTCAGCGAGAGAAGAAGACAAAAATAGACAAGATGGGAGCTAAGAAATGATGACGTGAAAAGTAGAGAAGTTTAAATATCTACGACGTGTTTAAACAGATGACTGAATATTTAACAAGGAAATCCGAATACCCATTGAAATAGTCAAATACTTACGAAGTGTTTAAACAGATGACTGAGTATTTAACACGAAAATCCAAATACACATTGAAATAGTCAAATATCTACAAAGTTTTTAAAGAGATGACTGAATATTTAACAAGGAAATCCAAATACACATTGAAATAGCCAAATATCTACGAAGTGTTTAAAGAGATGACTGAATATGTAACAAGGAAATCGAAATACACATTGCAATAGTAAAGTCGAAACAATATATTAAGTAAGTTGAGATTTTTTTGTCAGAATCAATGAAAACAGTGCTGAACAAGTAGGTACTATATTCTATATGTCAGTTAATGACAATTTCTTCATACGACAACATTTGAGGGAACAGAGATTTGATTCTACAGAAGCATGTTGATGATGTAGAATGTTTGCGATGAGGGCGTTTTTTAAGGAAAAAAGGGAGATTTACATCTAAAATGAAATTTGCCTTTTTTTGTTGTTGCATATGTGCATTTAATAGGTTAAAACTTATTTCTATCCGCCCTGTCGTCTGCGGCAATACAATACGCCGACTGGAAGTTCTGAGGAACGTGGTATCACCTCTTAATTACTGTTGTTCTCAGGTCCACCCTGACCGGGGTGGTATTACCTCTTTGGGCCCCAGCTATGGGCAAATAGTTAAACCCCAAATAAAAACACTATTAAAGTATAAAAATAGATTTTTATATAAAAATTCCAACAATACAATTATCAAAAAAATATCACTTACAATACATTTAAAAATATATTACGAGCAATACGTTTTTTTTTTTTTTAAATATTACCAGCAATGTATTTCTGAAAGATAAAATATATCCATATTCATCTCATATTTAAAAAAATATGAGATGAATATGGATATATTTTTTGCCAAAAAATTCGCTTGAAGATTGAACAGAGTTTGGTACTTTAATTCAAATAATTATATTGAAGTTTCGGTTTTTGTTTTGAAACAGGAAAACTCTTATGTAGCGAAGGAATCATATTTTTTAAATAAATAATTATATATATATATATATATATATATATATATATATATATATATATATATATATATATTCTTTTCGTACAAAACTATCCTAAATATTGTGTTTGGAATTATATAATCCTAAAAAAAGAGGCACGATAGAGTATATGGCAGCGATTCGGATTGAGGAATCAGAGAACCGAGTTCGAATCCATTACATTCACTTACATGCTAATACCCTTGGGAAAGGTATGAATCCTCTTCTTCTCCTCCCAGCTATGGCTAAATAGTAGAATAGACTCGCAACCTACTGCGGGAAAAAAATCTGCCTCGTCAGTCATGTATCGAAAAATACATGATCGCCTACCCCAGTGAGCGAAATAAAGGGTTCAGTTAGAAATTCCAACCACCTGAAGAAGGCCGGATCGGACAACGGCCGAAACGTTGTAATAAATATGGCGACAAAGATGAGAACAATAGCCCTAATAATGTAAATAATGTACATAATACCTCATCTCAGAAATATAGACAGGTACTGAAGGATCGTACGGACGCGATATACCAAAAATATGGAGACAAATTGGTCCTCAAGGACACATGGCACAGTGGATAAAAGCGTTGGTTAGATCCAGTGACAGGACCCAAAGAGTGTGAGTCCAATACCTGGTTAAGGCAGTGGAGAACTTTGAGAGGGGAATTAACAGGAGATAACTGATAACTGACATCATTAAACATGGCACGTGGAACTAGAAGAG